AGAGACAGACTTCAAGGCCCACCATAACTACATCCCTGCTTTAAGGCTGTAAAAGTGCATAGAGGTACTGTACTCACGCTATAAAAGTATCAATTTTTTAGGTAACCATATTTTCATCCACTGTATACTGTATTATGTTTGTGGGCACTGAATACTACACATAAATTTTTATTGAACAGAGTGTGAAAACTTTAAAAATCAATCAATGAATCTCTTTGTTTTTTTTTTCAGTCCATATCTGTGATCATGACAACAAACATACCAGTGCAAGGTTCTACAGCTCCAGTAGTTCTGTACCAACCATGTGCAGAATATCGTTCGTCAACCTTTAACTCCAAGGCAGCGCTAATAACCGGCTATATGCAGATTGGCCTAGCAGTGGTATCCCTTGCATTTGGTGTGGCTTGTATATTTTCTGACACTTTTGCTGGTTATGTTGCTGTTCCAATCTGGGGTGCACTTGGGGTAAATTTGTTTAAAATAATAAATATACAATCCTCACGGTCACATCATAATAAACTTCTACCATTCATTCTTCTAATCCTGTGGAAATAAAACATCCTCAGCTGTCCACTTTGACTATCAGTTATTAGTTAATGCTTATTCACATTACAATCAGAGTTTAGTTTTTTTTGTTATAAAATTCATTTTAACTGATACAATTTTTTGGGATTGCGATTCTGAATTTCAGACATTTTTGTTCTCTGAAAACAAACAAGAAAACTATTGTTAATTAATTAATCCAGCATCTTTGTCAGCTGCGTGCTCCTAATAATCTGACAGCATTTTGATCAAAGGGTGGGTTCAGAGAAAATGTGGATTGGGTGGGGATGGCATGCAAATTGTGAAGCACCAAGTGGGTGTGGGGGGGGGGCATTGTTGCTAGGGAACTTTATTTAGAAATGCTTTTTCAATGTGCATTTTTATCTGGTAAAGTTTAAATGTACTCATCCATCTTGCGTTAAAATAGAATGAATCCATTGCATACACAGGTTTCTGAAATGTTGGTTTGCAGTCACACAGCAAATTGTACTTTCATGTCTCCTTCACTCTCAATACTGAATCACTGTTCATTGTTAAAGAAACAACTGCTATACAATATCTAAAAAAAGCATCTAGAGTATGTTGATTTTTTATATATACACATATTTTATTTTTCTGCAGTTCTACCTTGTGGCTGGAATTCTGGGAGTGGTTGCAGGAAATGCAAATGGAAGAAATGCGTGTGTTGTAAGTTATATTTCTGGAAAACAGACAGCTTTGTTTACTTTGTTCAGCCATTAGAAAAATGACTTAATATCCACTCATTTTTTCCTGCCTCCTCTGACGATCTTGAAAACTATGTATTCACAAAACAAGGTATAAAAAAGCTTGCCTTCATGTATGGAGATGCAGTCATTGGGACCTTAGTGGCATAATGCCTATGGACTCTTAGGGGGGGTGGCCCCCTACCGCAGGCCCTAGTCCAAAGGAGACCTGAAGGGCCCTCCTAGTAATACACAGCACTCTTCTAACATTATGGTCCAGTCCAGTAGAAGACACCCAAAACTAACATTGAAATAATGTTATATTTGGTTTTTAATACAATACTAATTTGAATTTTTTTTATTAAAAGTTTAAAGTTTATTAAAATTCACTATTGTAAGCTAAGAACTTCGCTTGATTCTGCAAAGCTAGGACTTCGAAAATGCCCATACAGTGTGGTCCACTGGTGCTATTTACGATAGACGAGGCTTAACAGGAAGGATTTATCCATCATATGTGATCATCCGTCTTCTTGCATTCATTCATTTCATATATTTATTCGACCAATACACATTTACAATAGGTACAGTACAACAAATGTTGGCCATGCAATATGACATACGCCATATTTTTTTTAATGTTCCTTTTATTCATGCCTAAGAAACAACATATACAAAACAAAATAAACAAGTTGCATAACAAATAAATCACCTTCTTTTATGTTTACTCTGAAATATTTATGCAGTTCACGACAATTACAAAACAGACTGGATGTTAATACTAGTAACAGACGAAATGAAGGCTCTAATGTTATGATTATAATAGGCTTAATACTTGCATATTCTGCAACAAGTAGGCCTGTTACTCATGTAGAAGACCATTGTGCTCAAGTGGATTCTTGTTGAATTAGACTTGGACATGACATAATAATATGTAAATGTTTAATGGCGTAATTGTCACACTCTTTATAATACCAAATTGTTCTTTATTGTTCCTTTAATTTAGATCTGGTTTAGAGTTTTCTTTTACAATTCAGTTTGTGTTTCCCATGATCAGCAAATCGAACGCATGCAAATCAAGTTTCTGAGATTTATTGGTAATAACAATGTGTGCAAACTTGATTCTTTAAAAAAGCATAGGCAGTTTTTTTCTCTATAGGTGTGTTAATTCCTCATTCTTGTGTAATTTGTTTCCATATTTTTCTTTAAAAGTTCCCCGTCCCAATATAAGTAGGCAAGATATTTTTTTTGTTTCAAAATGTAGAGTTAACGCACCTAAAACTGGTTTTATCAGTAGGGACTTTCCTCTTTCTATAATTCTGTTAGAAACAATGAGCCATCAATTGAGATTTTTCAGCAACCCTGTCATTCATTTTTTGCCCAAGTTAAAGTAGCCATTTAATCATTCACCTGCTCTGGAATTTAATTTTATTGAACTTTCTTATAATGTTGTTACGTCACTGACCTTAGTTGATGAAAGCCTTTATCCGATGATGCATGGTTCAGGTAGCTCAGGAGTTTGCAGATGATTAAGACCTTAGTGGTGTAACTCCCTATACCATGTTGCAGTTATGTTAGGTTCCTTGTTTTTCTTTGAAGTGAAAATTAATGTTGAGTGAATACACGTTTCAATGAGTATTATGGACAAAATAAAATATTTGCATCGTATCATAATTAAAATAATATTCTGTTTCAGATTGTGGGTTGTTTAGTGATGTCAATAATTGCAGCTGCAACTGCCTTTGTGCATATTATTATTGGTAGTATTTCGACAGCTTATGATCATTATTGGATTGTGAGTCCCAAGAAAATATTTCTACATCTTTTATTGTATTTGTATTATTATAGAAAGCATAGAGGTATTGAAATACAGTATAATGATTGGAAAGAAAAATGAATGAAGAAATAATAGAGGGAAGATAATGGAGTCAATAGAGAAAGAAATAAAAAATTAATTAATTAAGAAGAGGAAGAAAGATGGGGGAAAAATGGATATGTAAGGATGAATGTCAGAAAATGAAGAAAGTAAGAATAGAAGGATTAAAGGAAAGATAAGGATTTTTAAAGAGAGAGTGGGCTAAAAATAAATGAAGATACAATAATTGGGATGAAATGAATATGATATGCCTATAGAGAATAACTTTAATTATAATTTTAATAGTAATGGTATCAAATTATTGTTTATTATTAGGGTGGAGGATGGTATGCTATCAACATTCTGTGTGTACTTGTTGGAGTGGTTCAGTTTGTGACAGCCATTGTTTCATCAGTGTTCATGTGTTGTGGGGCAAATTGTTGCTGTGGAGAACAAACATCAAATGTGAGTCATACATTTCTTTTGCATTTGGTTTTATTTTGTATTAAGTTGTAATACATTATCTGTTTTAGTTAATGTATAAATTTGAAATGTCAAAGTGTATTTCAATTGAATTGAAAACTGGAATTTTTCAGTTTTAGTTTAGAGTTACTCTCAGATTTACAACCTAAATTATGAATAAAGTAAATGAAATATCTAATATAATTATAATATAATTTAACTAATATATCACATTTGTACACTTTACAATTCAGGCTCTGGGCTATCCTCAGTATGCATCATATGTTGTTCAACCTGGTATGTTTGTTTTTATTATTGTTTGCCTCTGTACTTCTATTGCCACTGAAATCTATTCACACTATCAAATTGTGTTATTGTCTATACATTTGCATGATGATGTCATATAACAAACATCCATATATGGGATGATGATGCCACATCACACCCATATATGGGGATGATGATGTCATCATTCCTGTATTTGAGCAAATCACATGTATTATTATTAAGAGCTGTACTTATAGAGTACCACAGTCGTGTCATCACGAAGTAAGGTGGCGCTGTCTGTTGTCAACAGACATTGGTTACCGTTCATCACACCTGAATGACTTCATAAGCTTTCTGGAAAAGGCATTTTAAAATCTAATATTTTATGTATTTATTTTTATGTACTAAAAATACAAGTCTCGCATTTTATTAGTTACCGAATACACATTTAATCATCAATTAAAAATTACAAATAAAAAGTAAGATACAACATCTTAATATTTACATTAGAAATTGGGATCAATGGTTTGTCAGTGGAGAAAATGGCGCCCGGTTGAGTAGTATCACGCGGTATCGTGACGTAACACTGTAGTACTCTATACCCAATTCGCATGTACTGTACAACATTTTGCCATATACAAATTGAAACACGTCATCACACTGACTTGGGTCCCAAGTTGGAAAAACCCCTTTCCGAAAGATTCTTTTAATGACATTGGGGGCGCTATATATTCTATGAGAAAAAAGTGGAAGTACCAAATGAAGTGCTGCGCCCACCTGAGACCCACCATGATTGGGGCTGAATTGATGAAATTTTTTAGAAGGTACCTTTAGAAGCTCAGAAATGGCACTGTCAGACTGCAAAAACTAATCGGCAACCAAAGTTTAGGCCTAAATAAAACAATAAGATTTGTTTTTTACTGAATTTTCGGGAGATAAGTGAATTTCCAGGAGATTTTTGCTTGTTTGCGGGAGTGCGGGAGACCATACCGATTTCCGGGAGACTGCCGGGAGTTCAGGAAGACTTGCGATCCCTGCACTGATTGCTGCATGCATGTATTCATTTCATCTCGTTAAATTTTCCAAGACCACCAGAAGCCTGTGTGCAAGTTTTTGATCTAATAAAAGTCTTTTTGATATCTCTCACAGGTCAGGTCATTCCCCAAGGTCAGGTTGCCATCCAAGGATATCCCATGATGCAGCAGCAATTTGTTGGTCAGCCAGTTGCCATGGGGCAACCACAGGTCATGGGTCAGCCACAGGTAGTAGGTCAACCACAGCAAAATGTCCAGTACATGGGCCAAGCCCAAGGACAGCTGCCTGCCTACACAGAACATGAGACAAAATAAGTTCCTCAAATCACACTGTAAGCTTTAGTCGATTTCCGGAAGACTGCCGGGAGTTCAGGAAGACTTGCGACCCCTGCACTGATTGCTGCATGTAAATGTGTATTCATTTCATCTCGTTAAATTTTCCAAGACCACCAGAAGCCTGTGTGCAAGTTTTCGATCTAATAAAAGTCTTTTTGATATCTCTCACAGGTCAGGTCATTCCCCAAGGTCAGGTTGCCATCCAAGGATATCCCATGATGCAGCAGCAATTTGTTGGTCAGCCAGTTGCCATGGGGCAACCACAGGTCATGGGTCAGACACAGGTAGTAGGTCAACCACAGTTCACAGGTCAACCACAGCAAAATGTCCAGTACATGGGCCAAGCCCAAGGACAGCTGCCTGCCTACACAGAACATGAGACAAAATAGGTTTCTTAAATCAGACTAACTTTTAGCTTCCATAAAAATAGAAATTATTAAAAAAAAATATTATAAGTACAAGTGTATATACTCAGATTATGTCAAACATAAAATACTAGAGTGACAATTGGAGATGAGTCTTGGTCAGGTGGTCAGCATCTTTTTTGACTAACTGTAGGCCTAATTGTAGAGTCGAAGGATAACTATCATTCACTCCAATACTTTAGGTGGTAAAACAGTATTACCAAAGGCCTGAAATCTATTAAAGTTCCAAATTGATTGATGAAACTTTTAAAAAGCGCTTGCATTAATATATAAGTATGTTTTTGGTGCGTTTTTAAAAACAGCTTTCCCTAGATTTTATAGAATTTCAGTTGGTCAGTCAATGGCAAGAAAAACTTTTTTTTGTATTTGGCTTTCTTTGCCAGCTTAAGCCTACTAGACTAGACAACGTTGATTGTAGGTGGTTGTCTGAACGGATAGTCATTAAAAACGATCTGTTAGGCGCGTGACGTCGCATTCCGTTCTTCATATAACTGCCCAGCTTTAGTCTTATTGTATATAAGTATGGATTTTTATATTGCGTAATGCAATAGAGAGTGAGTAACCTAAAATTAAGGTCTGCAACCCAGGCTCATATTGATATGTATTTGAGTACATATCTGATTACGGTATAAATGTACGGTACTATGAACAAACCCCTATATTATACATAAATATTTATATATTTTATTGGCAGAAAATCCAGATTTACATCATACTTTTTGTAATTTCATATGGTTTTATCCTGTAACTGTAAGTGGCAGGTTCATACTTGCTGTTGCTGTGAAGTTCTTTCTTTCTTTCTTTTATTAATATTTTAAGAGGAAATGTCCCACTCAGCAAAGCTGATTTTCAGGGGAGTCCTCATCACAACAGACAAATTACAAAAGAGACATAAAGCAGAGCAAACAGCAAAAACATCACATTCATAGAGAAATAAAATAAAAATAAAATAAAATCTCATCTATGTATCAGATAATTTAGAGTTTGTCATCAGTTACTGCTTTTAAAGACTGATGTTTTCTGAGTGATTATTCCTTTTTAAAAGTGTATTAAATTTACTCAATGTATGCCTGCATGTGCACATTATTAAGCTAAACAGTAGTCGCTATTATGCTTGCAAAATGTTATGAAAAATCTTGTGAATTTCTTAACACTTTAAGAAATCTTGAGGACAGGATGAACCATGATGGTATTCAATAAAGAGATTTATAATCCTTAATATAACTTGTTATACACTGTCACTGATTTTGTCTTAGACTCCAATGTTAAAGAAAATAAACTCATTTTTTCACACAACTGATGAACTTTTTTTGATTGGTTTATGCCTGCACACAATTCGTTCCTATATTTGAGCACCGTTTTTATCATTTACCTTTATTTATACATTGCATTTGGCAAACAATCAATCAATCGTTCCCTCTTTATGGCACCATTCCAAAAGTCGTTGCTCGTGGTCAGTGGCGGCGCTACTACCCCCCCCCCCTCTCTCAATCCCCTAGTCGGGAGAAAAAATACAAAAGATGTATTTATTACATAATATAGACTCTAAAATCGATTAAGTAAGTCTTTGAAACCCCTCAATTGTCATACTTTTAGGGAATTCGTTCGCC